TGCCCTGGAGATCATCCAGGTGACAGATGAATAAAAACAGAAACTGCTTGGGAGCAGGTAATAGGATATCCATTGCAAATGGCATAGCACTAGGGCATGGGAATTGGAAAATGTCCAGTCCAAACTAGATCCAGAAAGAGTAGATTCCAAATGATTTTAGAGATTCAAATGTCAAGTTTTTTATTTATTTTTATTTTTTTATTCCAAGTCACTTCCAATGCAACACTGGCATCTTATATTTGTAGAGTTCTGATTATCCGATTTATATGTAGCAGAGGTCATACGTGTTTTTAGATTAGAAAGATACGTGGACCTTGTAGTGATGATCTACAACAATTAGCGAGAAAAACAGAAGATACACAATTTAAATCTATTTATAGATATTGAGGGCTTGTAAGCCCTGGTGCTTTGGAATGTTGTGACAGTGGGAAAGAGAACTAATTTATCTGCATTCTCAGATCTCCCAATGAATAACATGAGAGTTGTGTATCTATATTAATAAAAGCATTGTACATTTTGTCCCCAAATGTTATCTGGGCAACATCTTTAATGCTTTTAGGAGAGCCCAGTTTCCAGAATCTTGGCAGATTAAATGTGTTTTAGCCCCATACTTAACTGTTGCTCTTGCTATTCATAACTCATACTACAATGTGTGCTCTGAGATGCATTCTTCCAAACACTGTTAGAGCCCTCTACCTTTTGCAAATAAAAACAAAGCAAGAATACATCAAAACACAGGCACACATAAATACACATTTTGGCTTTAAAATGAGGAAGACCTGATTTCCAATCCTAGCCTTACAACTAGTTATCTGTGTGACATTGGCATTTCACTCAACACTCTAAGCATGTTTTCAAATAATGGAAGTAAATAAATTAATGTTTATATCAGTAGAACTGCTAGCTTGAAAGATAGAGAAACTAGCTATAGTAATAGAAAAAAATATATAAAGAAGGAAAAAGCTAAGAAATATAAAAGGCTCAGAAATGCTAGTAATGGAGTTTCTAGAAGAAAATATCTCTATTTCTGCCATACAATTCCAGTTGGATGTTGTGTTATTTTTGTTATTGTTGTTTCCTTTTGCTTTGATTTATGTTGTTCTTGGTTTGAGTTTGGAGGAAGAGGAAAAGACTCTTATTAAGGAGAAAAAGGGGAATTGAAAAAGAAGGGAGTATATGAAGCTTGTGTTGTGATAAAACATTCAAAGGGAGAGAAAACTTTTAAGAGTAAACAAAATTTCCAGACAATATTGAGGGATCAAGTTGGGCAATCATTGAATTAAGTGATAGTAATAGTAGAGGCAATAAGAGTTGTAGAAGCAGAATCTGACATAAAAGTCCTTTAAAAGTGGGTGCCAAGAAATCAAAAATCAAAAAATTCATGCTATTTCTAAAGGAAGAAATCCATCTTCAAAGGCCACAACTAAAAATATATAGCTGTTTTCATGAAAGCTCTTCATTATTCACTTTAGGTTTCAATTTTTTTTTTTTTATCCTTAACAATGCAAACAAGCTATTTACACTGCAACTCATTCATTGTTCTTTCTCATGAAAATAATAGTTAATCGTTTTTTGAAATTGTCAGGCCTAAGTTAGAACTAACTTAATCAAGTTTTATCAAAGATAAAAGTAATTTAAGTGGCAATTATGATCCTCATAGATCATAAATTGGCAAAGGAAGAAAAACAGTATTAAGACATTTCAGACTCTCAGTCTCTACACATGCTTTAAAACATCCTGAAACTTACAAACTTTTCCCCACCCTGGCCTCATTTTTACCTTAACTACAAAATCAATTGCAGATAACTTTTTAGAACTGGTAAGAAAGCTGCTTCGATGAGTGTCATCAGAGTTCTAATTGTGTCCCTTAGTGTAGCTATATTGGTTTCTGATATACTTCTTGCCCATCTAATCCTGGGGATTTATTTTTTCTCTATCCCCTACCCCCACCTTCACCCCCACCCCACATACAGAAGGCAGAAAGATGGGAATATAAAATACAACCCAGAAGTTGAAAGAGTTTAGAAACTTTATTACTGAAAACTAAAACTGAAACGAAACTCACCAGCTAAGTGTTCTAAAAATAATTTTCTGAGTGTTGCCCGGTGGATGGGCTGGATATACTTGGTCTGATTTCTCAGAAACTACACATTGTTAGTAAAAGAGAACTTTGAGATAGTTTTTATTTTTTTCTATTTCAAACTGTCATCAGTAATTATGTCAGAAGCCATAATAACTCCACAGTTACAGTGAATATAACCCCGAAGCATGTCTGAATTATGTACTTTTGCCATTTTTGTTTGTCTTTAAGGAAGCAACCATCCATCTGTTTAGCATTAGAGCATTTGATATAAGTTTCTCGGGTAAAATTTGAATTTGACATACACAGAATACATTGCTGTATAACATCACTCAAAAAATTAACTTCCTAGATAGATAAAGCAAATGCTGAACAATTTTAAAGAACTTAAAGACAGTCTCTTCAATAAATGGTATTAAGAAAACTGGACACATACGTGCAAAAAAGTAAAACTAGACCACTTTCTTATACCATATACAAAAATAAATTCAAAATGGATCAAACACTTAAATGTATCACCTAAAACATAAAACGCCTAGGAGAAAATTCATAGGCAGTACACTCTTCGACATGGGTCTTAGCAATGTTTTTTTTTTGGATATGTCTCCTCAGGTAATGGCAACAAAAGCAAAAATAAACAAATGGAACTATATCAAACTAAAAAGCTTTTGCACAGTGAAGAAACCATCAAAAAAGTGAAAGGCAACCTACTGAATGAGAAAAGACATTTGCAATTAATATATCTAATTAGGGGTTAATATTCAAAATAAACAAAAAACTCATAGAACTCAACATCAAAACAACCCCCCCCCAAAAAAAAAAGATTAAAAATGAGCAGAGGATCTGAATAAACATTTCTCTAAAGAAGACATAGCGACAGCCAACAGACACATAAAAAGACACTCGGCATCATTAATCATCAGGAAAATACAAATCAAAACCACAATGAGACATCACCTCACACCTGCCGGAATGGCTATTCTAAAAAAGACAACAAATAACAAGTGTTGTAAGGATTTGGATAAAAGGAAACCTTTCTGCACTATTGGTGGGAATGTAAATCGGTTCAGCCACTATGGAAAACAGTATGAAGCTTTCTCAAAAAGTTTAAAATAGAACTACTATATGATTCAGTAATTCTACTTCTGGTTATATAACTGAAAAAAATAAAATTACTATCTCAAAAAGATACATGCACTACCATGTTCATTGCAGCATTATTTACAATACTTACATTATTTCCAAGATATGGAAGCAACCTAGGTGCGCATCAATAGATGAATGGATAAAGAAGATGCGACTATATATACACACACATTTTATATGTATATATATGTATATAATGAAATATTACTCAGCCAAAAAAGAATGAAATTTGACATTTGCGACAGCATAAATGGACCTAGAAGTGAAATAAGTGAAATAAACTGTGGAAAAAGACAAATACCATATGATTCCACTTACATACAGAATATAAAAAACAAAACAAATGAACAAACAAAACAAAACAAAATAGAAATAGACTTATAGATACAGAGAACAAACTGATGGTTGCCAGAGGGAAGGGGGCAGAGGCATGGGCAAAGAGATGAAGGGGAATAAAAGGTACAAACTTCCAGTTATAAAATGAGTCACAGAGATGTGCTGTATATAGCATGGGAAGTATAATTAATAATATTGTAATAACTTTATATGGAGACACATGAGTCGATTATTGTAAACAATGCTACAAGGGACATGCAGGTGCAAGTATCTTTTTGAGATAGTAATTTTGTTTTCTTTGGCTACATACCCAGAAGTAGAATTGCTGAATCTTATGGTAGTTCTATTTAAAATTTTTTGAGGAATCTCCATACTGTTTTCCATCATGGCTGCACCGATTTACATTCCCACCAATAGTGCAGAAGGGTTTCCTTTTATCTAAATCTTTAAGACAGTTGGTATTTTTTGTCTTTTTGACAATAGCCATTCTGGCAGGTGTGAGGTGATGTCTCATTGTGGTTTTGATTTGCATTTTCCTGATGATTCTTGATGTTGAACACCTTTTCATGTACCTGTTGGACCCTTTGTATGTCTTCCTTGGAAAAATGTTTGTTCACATCCTCTGCCAGTTTTTAAATCAGATATTTTTTCCTAAGATTTTTTGCCCATCACAACCTGAAAGGAAACAAGCCTTCCTCTCCCACGAAGATCATCCTCTACCTCAATGACTCCAC